TGACTTCGTCGAAACGTCGCCAGGACACTTCCAATTTTACGCGGGAGAGAACCCGAATGACCAAAGACCTACATATATATATATATATATATATATATATATATATATATATATATATATATATATATATATATATATATATATATATATATATATATATATATATATATATATATATATATATATATATATATATATATAGTATTATTTATATACGACAACCTACATTATTCATCCCTATGATATTTTGAAAAGTTGCTTGACAATTTATGTGATAATTTATGTGACAAATGCACACATACATACATATCTCTATCTTTGTATCTTAAAATTTAAAATTAAGACATATGACCTTGTAGTGGGATTGTAACTTCTGTAAAATCTTTTTTTGACTTTTGATGCAACCAGGTATTATGAACAAAAGTATATGTAGTAAAAGGATAATTTCTTTCTTCTATTACTACCTTCTCTAGAAACCAATCATCTGGGGGAGAAAAAAAGAAAGTAAAAGGTTATCATTCAACTTTCTATTTTTGTTTGTTTTACCCAAGTAATAACTGCTATGCAGGCCACACTATATAAATGAGTTAATTAACAATGATACTATGTGAAAGCTTAAATAACTGTGCAATGGAAGGACTTTGTGTTGATGTTCTTTTAAACTGTTAAGGATTCAAATGTTCAACAAGAATACTTGTAAAGTTCTATTGCTTTCTTGAGTGAAAATCCAGTAATATTTTCAAATATTGTAAAAAAATTGATGGACTCAGTATTTCATATATTTTGGGGCTTTGTTACAATAACCTAATGATCCTCTCATGGTGCCTTTAAAACTAAGGAAAAGTAATCAAAGTAATTTTGGACAGTACTACACACGTACAAGATAACCAATTGAATTGTAAATTTACTTTGTAACCTAGCAATATATTTCCCATATGAATTTAAAGTGAATAAGTATGATCTATGCTAGGTGTTAAATCAATACACGACTATTGGTGATATTCAAGTAAAAATGAATAGCTACTGGTTATTTGCAGCTATATATCTTCCATTATTCTTGAATACATTTGTGTAACTTGCTGTAGCTGCTCTCTATTCCAATCCCATTCTGCATCCTGTTATTATTCTGGGACTGTTACTCCAAATGTATCTTGAGAATGCCAGGTTAATGGAGACTAGTTTTTAATTACTCTTCTCAGTTGTGATAGAAACTGAGTTGACTTGTATGCCGTATATAGAAAATCCTTCTTGGGCCATTTCTTGCTTCTGAGGTTATAAACTTATGGCTGGGAATCTAAATATTCAAAGGCTATACTGATCCAATGTCAGCATTACATTTCAGTGTTCCCATGGCTCAATTGCTGTTCAAGAAGAAATGTTGCAAAGATATTCTGTAATATTTCTATAGGATTTGTGAAGGAACTCTGGTGTCATCCTATCTTCCCGTTCATCATTTCTCCTTCCTCCTGAAGCCAAAACAAACACCGTGATGCCTTTTCCTAATTATTCTGAGTTGTTATTTCCCCATCCCTCTACAATGTTTACATTATTTTATTTGGTTTTCCTACTCACTATACAAAGCACTGCAATGATTTTTCTGCGACCTGTTATAATGTTTTTCCTCCATTCCACATTCTCTGATAAGTTCAAACTTATCCATTCCACATTCCCATGATAAGTTCAAACTTTCAAATTCAACTTCTGGAAGAACTGATAATTCCATCTCTCTCTCTCTCTCTCTCTCTCTCTCTCTCTCTCTCTCTCTCTGAACATACCTTTGTTCAAACCTTTGAACCCCACAATGACTTGATTCAGCTTCCCAAGATACACTCCTTTGATTTGGTAAACATCCATCTATAATTGGAGAAAAGTTGATATAGTTAAATTTGTCTGAAACAAACTCCATCAGCCTTTAATGGGTAAATTCAGTAAATATTACTTCTTTTCTCTGCACAGATGAACATTTCAATATATATGAATCATTTTTGCAAGGTCATAGCAAAAGATTGTGCAATAAAGTTGACATCTTAAGTGTCAGTGACTACTTTCATTTTATTGCAAATATTAGATCATAGGGTTATGCAAGCATGCAGTATTTCCTGGAGTGCTTCACTGTTCCAGTAACAGAGCTTCTAGGATCAAATAAATAAAATCCAATGAATTATGATTATTCCACAAAGAGACTTTACTTCCTTCTGAAGCATCTTAGATTAAACTTATTCAGAGGTTGTATACTGGACTAGAATAGGAATCTAATCTTTTAGGCATTCATCATTTAATCTATAATAGCATTATGTTATGCATTGCTTTTTCTTTCCCTACCTCCTGCAAAATTAATAACTTTTGTCCTTGTTATATCATTACAAGTTTTGCCTATTTGATATTTCATGTAGAACCTATTTATAGCAGCTTATTCTGACCAAAATTTATTCATCAGTCATGCAACAAATGTGTTCAGTTTCACTATTTCTACTCTCCAATTCCTCAGAAGCAATCTGAAGCCAACTCATGGTTGTCATCACTTCAGCTGACCTTGAAATGCTGAGAGCATTACTGTGTTCTGTACTTTTGTGGGAGAGGAGAAAGAAAGACAAGAGTTGCCACCTATGTAAGAATAGGTCACCCTTAAGCTCTATGCAGTTCTTAAAGCAAACCAACTTCTGGTGCTGTTTCAAATATTCTATAGCTAAGGCCATAATAAATCAGTTCCGCTTCTGAATGTAGCAGATATCATGGGATACAATTGCTGTTCACAAAAGATGTGTGAGTTCTCAATTGTTGATCAAGCAGCACTAGCTACAGACCCATATACGAAAATTATGTACACATTTTATGAGTATATCACAGGGTTGTTAGTTTATACTGATCCTACATAGACCTGAATCAAGAAGTACAGAAAGCATTAAAATTATAAGGAAGATGACTAAAAAGTGAATATAGCAAAGGTGATCAATACTTGACCAAACATGATTCAATGTCATGCCATTACATAATAAGGAAATTATTCTTTACACTTGAAGTATGTCTATTAAAAGCATATGCATACCTATTATGTAATATATATATAAATACAGTATATATTACCTGTCCTCTACCAAAAGTGATTGGTCCTGTTTTAGAATTATTAAGCCATCGTTTTCCTGAGTCACCTCTATCTCCACAAATACAAAAATAAGCATCGCCACTGGCGTCAGCTTTCTTCCTGTCTCCAGTATATACATGGGTAGAATACTCAACAACTGAAGTAAACAAAGA